CCCCCCCCCCCCCCCCAGTGCTGGGGCCGCCCCTGACCACCCGGGCCGTGGCAGCTCCGAGGCAGCCCTCGGCAGCCGCTGAGGAAGTGCTGGCAGTGCGGCAGTGTCATGAAGTGCTGCCTGCCCGCGTTTTTTTGTCTCTGGTTTCGGTCTTAGAGGCGGGCTGGCACCTGCTCGGCCCACGCTGCGAGCGCACAGCGTGCCCGCATGGTACTGACGTTTCTGCGTGCCGCCGGCGCCCCCCCGCCGCCGCCTGCAGCCGCGCCCGACCTGGATGCCTGCCTGCCTCCACTGCCGCTGGCTGGGCTGGAGGATGTATTCAGGAGTGAGGGAGAGATGGATCGGGGGCTGGGGGACCTGCTGTACTCTGCCTACCAGGCAGCCAAGGCGAAGCTGGCGGAGGCGGCGGCGGCGGCGCGGGAGGCGAGCGGGCACGCGTCCCCCGCCCCGCCCCGCCCCCTGCCCTGGCGCCGCCCCGGCAGCAAGCAGCCCGCCGCGGGACGCCGCCGCGTGGCTGAGCGGCGTGGTGGAGGCGGCAGAGGCGCAGCGGGCGCAGCTCGGGTGAGCGGCGGCTTGGCTCGCTCCCTCTCTTCTGCTGCCGCCTGTGCTGGTGCCGGCGGGCTGCGACACTGCGCGACCTTGCGAGTCGCTGCGCCTCTTCTGGCTGGCCGTTCTGGCCCTGATCCCGCCTCCCCCGCGCGCGCACCGTGCCCACCTCACGCCGCCCCTCCGCGCAGGCTGCACGGCAGCTGGGTGTTTGAGGGTCAGATGGAGCGTGTGCTGCTGGAGGCCAACCGCCGCATCCGGGAAGGCACGCGGCAGCAGCCTCAGCAGCAGCAGCAGCAGCAGCAGCAGCAGCAGCAGGGCGGCGGCGGCGGCGGCGAGCGCGACGCGGCCGCGGCCGCCGAGGCCGCCCTCCTCCGCTTTGTGCTGCTGCAGTGGGTTTGGTTTGAGCGGCGGTGCCGGGCGTATGGCGACAGGGTGAGCCGCGGGCCGCCGGCTGCCGCCGCTGGTGCCTCTG